GGTGCATTTCTCCAGTGACGTGACAGAAAGAACCATAATTTCTGTATTTTGATCAGGAAAAGCGCTAAAACACAAATAAGTTCAGCTGAGATCGCTTATCTACAATAAGCTACTGTATTTAGTGTAATATTCCAGTAAACTACTATTGCATTAAAATAACCCAAGAATTCACATAAAACAAACAGGAGCTATATATTTTCATGAGGGTAGCTGCATCAGCATGCGTAGGCTGCAAAGGAACAAGTAATAGGTTTATTCCATGCTGAAAAGAGAAGAAAGAATACACAGCGTTTCGGCCGTGGAGCCCCTCCTGAAGAAGGCTCCACGGCCGAAACGTTGTGTTTTTTCTTCTCTTTTCAGCATGGAATAAAAGGAGTCATATTTGTAAAACTATTTCATGGGATATTGTGTTATAGTTACTGTATCTGTACAGAACGTGTATTCTGAGGTAATGCGATTTTGAGTGCGTTTTTCTACCGAAAAATGCCATTTTGTATTACGAATAATAGCAAGTCGTTTATTGTTATTAATTGAAGCAATTAATTTCGCTATGTGCCACTTTCTCTGGGCTGTTATTGCACCCGGGTCTCGGGGAAACGTGCGGCAAGTGTCAGCGACTCGTGCCTGAGGAGATGACTGGGCTGTCGGGAGAGCAGCTTCCTGAGCCGGGGAGTAACAGACAACGCTCAAGACATCCTAGAAAAATAAAGGTGCGGCTCTTTTCGTTTAGGTAAACTAGTAACTGACTCAGTAACTGACTTTTTTTTGCATACCAGACAAGTTAAAAGATTCTACTAGGTCGCTACAAAACTCAGAAATCTACTTGGTATGAAATGATCTCAATTTGCCCGTTGAACATTTTTAAATGAGATTGGTAAATATTATTCGAAATAAAACCTTTTTTATTTATTGTAAACTATAGACATGTAGCACATTATTGTCTGCAATGCCGATTTACAGAAGGAATCGACTAGAAGTTTTCAAGTGTCAACATCTATTACGTTTTGCTACTTTTCTCGTGTGCACTTTCGTTGGTGTACTGCCACATGCTGGAAAACACGCGTAACCGCTCTCGTAAAATGTCGACGTTACGGTAGGTCGGCGCACATGTACTTTTTTATCAGTTTCTTTTTATCTTTAGTTCAGCGGATACTAGGCCACAGGCGTTAAAATAAAACAATTAACCATAACAGTAACACAACAGATTTAAGATGATATAGGGTTACTACATGTGAAAAAATCAAACGCACAGAAAACATTTGGGGAACAAGAGTAAGAGTCAATTTCAGGACAGGTTAAGCTATTTGAAAATCCCTCCCGGACATTGATTTAAGGAACTAAAAGGAAGACATGATAACCCTCCATACTATAACACGTTGTATACTGTACATATACTACAGACCTTAATGTACTTCTGCATCTAGACATCAATTACATGTAACCTACTTTATATACCATAATTCTGTGCAAATTAAATGAAACTGCTCTTTAATTGGCAGAACAATTGTAGGGATAGTCAAAATACCGTCTTCTGTGGCTCTACCATTCCACGCGCTCAATTTAAAAATATTACGGTGGTTTCGGAACTAAAATAAATGGGCAGTTAACGCTTAAATTGCTTTCAGAAGGCTTACCCGTTTTCACCCGAAGCAGTTTTTAATGAAGATGGTCATGTAAAAAGTTAAGCTAACATATAAAATCATAATGTGATGTTCACACCATGTTGAATAATTATAAACATATTTTAAAACGTACAAAACCAGCGGAAGTACCAATAATTCTGAGGTTCAAGGAGTCTGGAGATATACTAATGAGAATCAAATCTTACCATAAGGCAAAGCTGGGGATGTTTAACAAAGCTCACAAAACTATTTAACATATTTTAATTTTGCTTTAAAAAAATGTCTACCACAACCCCGTTTCTTAAATCAGATTATTTGCATGACCTTTTAAACGTCCATGTGAAAGCATGAGGTTTAAATGAATGTAGAAGTGTTACCATGTGCCATTACAAATATATGCAGCACGACAAACAATATAAAAGTAATACATCAATAATAAATGAATACATTAGCAGATAGTCAACTTACATAATTAACAAAGGCTTAACAACTGAGGTAATCAATTTAATCTTGGCAAATGTGGTGCAGAAATTAGCAAGGTAGGTGTTTTTTATTGTAATAGCAAGTTATCCTTATTTACTACAAAAACTGCCTGGTAATAAAATACCACAGACACATTTTCAAAGATAAGCCAGGAGCAATCAGTGAAGTACAGGTTTCTCTCCAATGTTTATTTCGTAGAAAGAATGATTGAAAAAATATTTACAGAGGAACAGAACATTGGACTGTAAATGACTGTTACTGTTTATTTTCTAAGGAAAGGATGTTTTATCAAACTTCCCTACAAATAGTTTTTTTTATCAGACACTTCAATTATAAGTGGAAAAAACAAACAATTTCCAAAAGAACAAGGAGAATCATTTGGATACAACGTTTTCTTCAAGCCAAAACAAAGAGTTCTGAGTTATAATGTGACACATAAGCTTCGTTTCCAATGACATCTGGCTTTTTTCCCCACTACAGGTTTTTCGATAAAGATAAAGTCTTGTGGCAGCACTTGAAACACTGAACGAGAACAAACCATTACAGATAACTGTGATGATTAAAAACCTCAATGTCCCCTGGACAATTGGTATGAAAACCCGGGTCCAAGTGAGTGTGATTTTCGGCACATTCTCGGAGGAAACAAAACAAAAGACACCTGTAAACACCTCCAGTCCTGCAGCCCAACCCAGTTGAAACTGGCAATACTCCTTTATAAGAGTGCTACAGGAGTGGACGAGAGGGAAGACGTGGGTATTTGACCTCCCTGAGACTCTGTTAACCCCTCTGTTTCAGTTAGTGTAAGCCTCAGGTGTCTGGGTCAGACACCTCTGTGAAAGAAATGCCTTTGTTTCCTCCCACACCACATATCAGTGTGATACTGGGATCCAGTTTTATGTTTAACTGCTGCTGCGGTTTCTATGCATTGACTTTTATTCCTCATACATCTTGGTCCCTATAATACTC